GGTAAGGGAACAAAGAGATGGAGGGAGGAAGGACAAAGAAGTAGAAGGGGATGAAAAAAGAATTAAGATGTGTTACATACATGTACCAACTCCCTACATTGAATGGAATCATTAGGTACAGCAAACATGTACTAATAAAAACAAAACAAAACAAAACAAAAACAAAAAACTGGCACAAGATTAGAATAAATATCTCCAAAGAAGACTGTCTAGTAAGCAAAGGTGCTCAGTACCATTCACTGAACTTTAGGGAACTGCAAATAAAGGCCCCATTAAGATGACACATCTCCCTCAGTAGGATGGCTGTAACAAAAAAGATAGACAATAACAAGTGTTGGCTAGGATGTAGAAGTTCTAGAACTCTTACAGTTTGCTGGTGGGGTTGTATATTGGTGCAATCACTTTGGATAATAGTTTGGTAGTTCCTCAACATGTTAAACATAGAGTTATCATAAGACACAGCAATTTCATACCTAAGAGAAATAAAGACATACGAACACACAAAAACTTGTTCACAAATGTTCACAGCAGTATTATATACAATGGCTAAAAAGTGGCAGCCACTCAAATGTCCATCAGCTGATGAATGACTATAGAAAACATGATATAATTATATGCTTTGGTTTGGATCTGAAGTGACCCCAAAGCTCCATGTGTTAAAGGTTTGGTTCTCAGCATGATGCTATTGGAACGTGGTAGATACCTTTCAGTGGTGCTGCACCTACCTCACAAGAGCTAGGTCCTGAGGTCAATCCCTGGCACCAAAACAACAACAAAAAAAGAAGTTATAGGTCACTGGAGGGTATGCCCTCAGAGGGGATTGTGGGACGCAAGTCTCTTGTTCTTTCTTTTTTTCTCTCTTGTTCTTTCTGACTTTGCTTCCTAGCTGTTATTAGGTGAGCAGCTTCCTCCATTACATGCTCTTGTCATGAGGCACTGCCCCACCACAGGCCCAAAAGCACTGAGGTAAACCAACCATGGTCTGAAACCTCCAGAACAGTGAACCAAAATAAACTTTTCCTCTTTTTCAGTTGACTATCTCAGGCATTTTGTTACAGTAACACAAACCTAATACACTGTATGATGGAATGTTATTCATTAATAAATTGGAATAGGGCCAGGGATTTAGCTCAGTGGTTCTGCCGCCTGCCCCACAAGAGCAAGGACCTGAGTTCAATCCCAGGTACCAAAAAAAAAAAAAAATGGAAGGAAGTACTGGTACATATTACAACATGAACAAACCTAGAAAAGTTTAGGCTGAGTGAAAGAAGCCAGTCATAAAAGATAATGTATTGCATAATTCTATTTGTATGAAATGTCCAGAAAAGGCAAATTCATAGGCATAGAAAGCAGATTAGGGGGAAGCCAGCTGTGGTAGGACATGTCTGTAGCCCCACTACTCGAGAGGCTGAGGTGGGAGGGTCACTTGAGTGAGGCCTGGAGTTCAAGACCAGCCTGGGCTAGTGAGACCTCATCTCAAATAATTAAAAAGAAAGGAGACTAGTAGGATTGTCAGGTTTAGGGGAATGGAAAAAATGAGAGTAACTGCAAAAGATATAAGGATTTTTTGGGGGGATGATTAAAAGTGTTCTGAAATTAGATAGCAGTGATGGTTGCACCTCTGTGAATGTCTTGAAACACTGAATTTTGCATTTCAAAAAGATTAATTTTATAGAGTGTGAATTATAACTCACTAAAATTATTAAAAATACTTTTATGCGAGTGGTTTTACTTTTCTTCAAATTACATCTTTAGGAGTCTAATGTTCTTTTTCCTGAAAAAGAAATTTGCATCTTGATATAAACTTCCCTTTTAGTAGAGATGTTTTTCTCATATTACATTCTCTAGAAAATGTAAGTAGTAAATTTGAATTTGATGAGCCTGTCTACTATTCCTTAAACAGTATACATCTATGAGCTGTTTATTCACCACAAACTTTTGAAACAGCTTTGTGTCGATGGTTCTATGTACCATAGTTATAGGAGAAACATGAAAATTACTTATTGGGTTTTTGGTCTCAATCATTTTTAGGTGATTAAACAAACAGGTGGCTGGGGCTGGGAATCAGGACTGTGTGTTCACATCTCTCACCAGTCAATCCACACTCCTTTGATCGTATATACAGTGAGATTCAAAACAAGCCAATAGCCAGGTGTGATAGCACACGCCTGTAATCCCAGGACTCCGGAGGCTGAGACAGAAGGATTGCTAAGAGTTACATACATAGTGAGACCCTATCTCAAACAAACAAACAAACAAACAAACAAAATCGAAACAAGTCAGTGGTGATCATCATGGCTTTGGGGGCCTATGACTCCCAGGAATTGCATACAAAATGTTGTGACAAGTGTAAGTACTCTCAACAGGTCCAAAAGTTTTATTAGTACCTCAAAGAGAATCACTGGCCAACATTTCGTACACACACACCAAGACTGGATACACTTAGATTCAGTACCTGTGTCTATGGTTTTAGTTTGCTTAGAGTCTTTTCCCCTTTTGCCTGTCCTAGTAGTGGGAGAGAGCCTTTTCCCTGAACTCTACGGTGCTGTTGAAGAATCTTCCCTTGTCATCTGGTTGCTAAATTAGGAAAATGAAATTTAGGAGATGATTGCACCTTTCCTTGGTCTACCCTTTCCATGAAGGACGCCCAATTGTTCTTTTGGGAGAAGGGAGCAGGGGGAGCTGGGGAGAGGCCAGGAGACCCCAAGATCCAGGCCAGCTTCCCTCTCTTTCACCCTTCATTCCCTCCCTCCCTCCCATCACTGCAAAGGAATAAGAAATTTTAGCCAGGCAAAGGTAGGATGGAAAGGACCAGGGCCCAGAGAGTTCCTTAAAGGCACAGGGATGAAAAACAGTGTGGTTTGGGAGAACTGGCTCCTGGGGCTGCTAAGAGGGGATGAGCTCAGTGGCTAATAGGATTGGCCATGGCCAATCACTAGCAGGACACGCACTGCACGAAGGGCTGAAGCACAGGGGTGGCTCGAGGTCAAGATTAGAGGGGCCCAGGAGTGAGAGAAGGAAGCTTAAGGAGCCAGGTTGTGCAGCCAGGACTGGGATGCTGAGCAGGTTGCCGGGCGAAGAATGAAGATTTAACCCTGCCTTCGACCGAGGATGGAAGACCTGCCCCTCTCCTCCGGGTACCCCGCTCTCCCCACCCCCTCACCCAGCTGTTTGCAGGGTTTCTTGGAGACCCTGGGCCAAGACCACCTGGGGATCAAGATGACTTGACCAGGAACTGAGGGTCAGAGCAGATCAGTCTGGAAGGGAGGAAATTGGAGAAAGAAGATGACTTTCCCTAGGATCTGTGCGGCACACTTTGCCTCCCCCACCAGGACCCCACTTGGTAGCACCCTTCTGATCCCCTTATCTCTAAGTCGCTCAGGGAAATAGCCTCCTGGGAGAGCCTTCTCCGAGGTGCTGTTCTGACTGCCCAGAAGCCATGAGCCCCGCAACTCCGGTAAGGAAGAGTCCTCCCTTCGGGAGGAGGAAGGGCTGCAGGGAGGGGGGCCCTGCCGAAGTAGGGGTTGGAACATTTTAGGCTCTGGTAGCCCCCTATCTTTGAATGATATCCTGTGTCTGCTCTCATGCAAGTGGGGGTTTGGGGTTCAGCTATTCAAATAAAGATCCTGGAGGACAAACCCAGGTGACAGATATGGAGACACCCTTCCTTCGAAGCCCAGTAGAACAACCTCCAATACTCCCTCCACACCGCACTGGGGGGCTGAACCCAGGGCCTTCACACTGAGCTACATCCCCAACCTTTAAAAAAAAAAAGACAAAATGGGTTTTTTTGTTTTTGTTTTTTTAGACAGGGTCTCTCAATGTAGTTCAGGCTGGCCTCGAACTGAAAGTGATCTTCCTGCCTCAGCCTCTCAAGTGCTGCGATTTTAATTTTTTTTTTTAATTTTAAATTCTAAGATAGTGTCTCGCTAAATCACTAAGTTGTCCAGGCTGGCCTTGAACTTGCAGTCTTGCGGTTTTATTCTTGAAAATGCTACGGCTTTATCACTTGCCAGTCCTCGCGCTCTCCCCAACTCTGGATTCTGTTTCTAAACACCCGGGAGACCCTTCAACTTTCTGACCCGTGCTCATATGGAGCCCATATGGAGCTGGGTTTATGCTTGGAGACTGCTACTCATCCTCGGAGCCCCCCTTCCTGTGTACCTGAAGCTACAGCAACATCCCACTGCAGCTTTCTCTGCGGACCCCCTCCCCCACTGAGGGCCGAACCCAGGATCATTGCCCTGAGCTACATCTCCAGCCCTTGTATTTTCCATTTTGAGACAGGTTCTCACTAAGTCACTAAGTTTTGCTCAGGTTGGGCTCGAACTTGTGGTCCTTCCACCTCAGCCTGCCAGAGTGGTGGATTAAGGCGTGCACCACTACACCCTGTTTCTTCGAGATGTCTTAATGGCCTTGTCCTTGGTCACGCATAAGATACAGTTTGTGTGCGACTCTACCTCCCTTTTGGGCACGGCCACTGTGTCTTCTTTTTCGTTTTTTACTATTTTGTTTTCTTGAAAGCGAGGACCCGAGCCTCAAATACCTAAGAAAAAGTATTTTATGATAGAGGCTGCATGTGTAGCTCAGTGGTAGAATCCTTGCCTAGCGTGTTCAACGCCCTGGGTTCGATCCCCAGCTCCCCAACAAAACAAAAGTATCATCATAAATGAATGAACAACTATCTTAATAGAAAAATAAACTAGGTGTGGTGGTGCATACCTGTACAGCCAGCTTCCCAGTTGGAGGACGCAGGAAGATCGCTTGAGGCTACTGGGCAACATAACAAGACCACCACCTGGAGGCAGGGATGGGGGTAGAAAAGAAAGAAAGAAAATTGCAGGTGTGGCCTCTCAAGTGCTCACGGGTCAGCACAGGGCTATCACCCTGGAGAGCTACTCCATCCAAGTTTAGGGCTGAAGACTACAATTCCCATTATGCCTCGGTCTTTGTAGCTCCTCCTTGTACCACGCCCCCTCCAGGGGGTGGGAGGGCGGGGCCCTAGGGCAGCTAGGCCCGGGGCGCTGCCTGGGGAATGAAATGCCCTAGGCTCTCTGGGGCACGAAGCGCAGGCGCGCACAAAGGGTTGGGTGGCAGCTGCATCGGGTAGCAGGGCGTTTTGGCAGCACCATCCGCAACAGGTGTAGACAGGTGGGTGATCAAGGGGCGGCGGGGGGGGCCAGAGGGGAGTTTGCACCTGGTCCTCTTTTCTGATCTGTGCCAGAGCTTAGAGAGGAGTGGGGAGCTGCAGGAGAAACAGAGACAAGGCCAGATCCTCCACACAGGTGTGCCAGCTCTTGTTACGCAGCAACAGGCGTAAGCAGATGGGGGAGGGGAAGAGGCACCTGCTCAAAAATAAGTCGCCCTCAGGAAGAGAGGGCACCTGGATTCCAGTCCAAGCTCCATCGCATACATGGAGGAGTCCTTTGCTGTCTCTCAATTTGTCCACCTGTAAAATAGGTGCAAAGATACCGACTTAACAGGGTTATAGTGGGGCCAAAGTGAGTTATTAGTTTGTGCAGTGACTCCCAAACTTTACTGCACACTGGAAACACCTGGGGTCTTTACGACTAGCAGTACTTGCCTCACACCTTCACACATTATGATTAGCCCGTGTTCTCATGGCTCCTACTAGTACAGTGGTGAGAGGCCGGGACTGCTAGGTGTGGACCCAGGCTCCAGAGCTTGCTAACCAAGTGGGTCTGAGAAAGAGGCTGGCCCTCTCCAGGCCCTAGCTTAGTCATCTCTAAAACTGGAATAATAGCAAAGATTGTTAAGAGGTTTAAATAAGCTAATAAGTGAAAGCAGAGGAGTATACCTGACACATAGTGTTCAATCAGTCATAAGTGCTGTTAAGTTATTATTTTATGCACTTTGTAAATGGCTCCTGTGTGGTCCAAATGTAAAGGAGGCTTTTGTTAGTCATAGTGGTCCCTCATTCCTTGTCATGATTCTGATGTTCTGTGTTGCCACCATTTCAAAATCCCATTTTCTAACATTGTATGAGTTTTAAGAGTTCCTCACCCCAGCCTCTGCTTGCTTCATAGACACCCATCTACCTGCCTCATGACACACTCAGTTTCACACACTCTGAGGCCAGTTGAGAGGTGCAAGGAGAAGGGAGTCCACCACGGTTCTGGGGCTGAGACTGGAATCCAGGCTTCTGACCCCAACCCCCACGGCATCCCAGAGGGTGGCTGCCCTGCTGACCCTACCGGACAGAGCTCCCATTCACTGGGGAGCTGAGGATGGGGAGGAGATGGAGGCTGCCCGGCCCTTGTTGTTTACTAACACTGCCTTAAGCATTTCCTGGGTGTCTCCCCAGGGAGGATGGGCTGGGGGGCTTCTCTCCAGGGAGCTGCTCTAGAGCTGCCAATGAGACCTGTGTCCTGGCTCCGCTGACAGGTCCCGCCTGCTTCCACCCTGGAAAGTCCTTTTGAAGAAATGGCCCTGGTGAGGGGCGGCTGGCTGTGGAGACAGAGTGAGTGACCTGGGCCATGCCTTTGTCTGTCCTGTACCTTATCCCGGGGCAGGGGTGTGGGGAGTGGTGTGTTAGGCCTGCAATAGTGAATCCTCTCCCAAGAAATCAGAACCTTCTAGCTTCTCCTTCTTCGTCTGTGATTTTCCATCTGCCCAGTGTCCTTCCCATTCCTGAGTGCTTGGCAAGCCTCTACTTAACTCTTCAAGACAGTGTCCAGTGTCCCCTTCTTTGATGAGTATTCTCCAGCTTTTCCTCTAAACCCCCCTCCTTCCCCTGTAGCACCAAGCTGGGTCGCTCTTCAGTTCCCACAATGACCTGTAGTAACTGTCATTACCTGTGAGTCTTCTCACTCCCTAACTCGATACTGGGCCAATGCTGTGGGCTTCCAGGGCAGGGTCTGGGGTTTAACTCTGTACGTGTCCATAGCACCCCAATCCAGCGCTAGACACAGAACAAGGCCCCAGAACAAAATGAAAATCATTCTGCTTGGGAGTCCATAAAGCTCTAAAAAGCCCTCTTAAGCCTTTCCCCTTTCCTGTTAGGATTCCAGTTGCAAAATGTCTGAAGCTATAGTGGTCTGAGTCTTCCAGAGTCACAAACTGAACAATCGCTATCTTGGGACCTCTGGGACCAGGAGCTCCCTTGCCTCATGCCTCCTGTCCATTAAGTTCAGCAAACCTGAACACAGGTCCTGCTAGGTTTTAGGAACTGTGTAGGGAGTTGCAGAACCCCAATCTGGTGGAGGTGGCAGAATGACAGAAATGACTGTCACACAAGCCAGAGATAGATGAGACAGGGGCTCAGAGTAGAGAGAGATCTTTGCCCTTGAAGAGACCTGGGACTTGGCCTTAGGCACTTCCAAACAATGAGTTTGATCATTCATTTACTGTTTAACACATTTATTGAGCCTCTACTATGTGTCAGGCTAGTGGGAGGCAGGGAGTAAGACAGAAAGAAGCTCTGCCCTCATTTCAGGAGATAGATAGACAAAGAAGTTATAATACTGAAGGCCAGGGCCACAGAGCTCTGGGAGCCCAGGCTCTGTGATCCGCCTGCCTTGTGGGTCTGGACTGTCATGCAGGCTCCATCCTCCGCCGCTGGAAGCGGAACTGGTTCGCCCTGTGGCTGGATGGAACTCTGGGCTACTACCATGATGAGACGGCACAGGATGAGGAAGACCGCGTGCTCATCCACTTCAATGTCCGTGACATAAAAGTCGGCCAGGAGTGTCATGGTGAGCAGAAGCCCTTCTGTGGCACTGGGACCACAGGCAGGGTTCTCCCATTGTGTCTGAGAATAGCTGCAAATGGGAGGCTCTTGCAGCTTTCCGGGAGCTTCTCAGACACTACTTCTGGGACTTTGTGAAGTCCAGTTGAGTTAGGTCTGAATTAAGAAACCCGTCCTTTGTTGAATTTCTACACTGTACTGTGTTGTGGAGGTAAGTCAGGTGAACTGGCATTAAGAACTGATGAACATGAAATAAAGAAGCTAAAAGAAGTGACTGTCCCAGAGTTACACAGCACTTTTCCAAATTCTTCAACCAAGGCTCAGCCCACAATTATAACAGGGTAACAGAGAGATGTACCCAAGAAGCCAGTAACGTAAAAAAGTTGAGCACATATAAAGAGTAGAGCAGAATCCCCAAAAAATACGTGGAATCAGAAAATTAGCAACGACCAGTAAACAGGACCCAGAGAAGTCAGTTCCTGGTCTTGTTCCTAATTTACCAGCAGGACCCAGCGCCCTTGGAAACCTCATATATGTGTGTTTGCTTCCAGATGTGCAGCCCCCAGAGGGTCGGAGCCGTGATGGCCTGCTGACTGTGAACCTAAGGGAGGGTTCCAAACTGTTCCTGTGCGCAGAGACCCGGGATGATGCTGTGTGAGTGGCTCCCAGGAAAGGATGGATAGGCTCTTGGGGAACACAAGCAGATGGCCCCTCCTCATTGAGTCTTCCAGGTCCCTGTTGGTAGGAGTAGGGGATAAAGACCAGTCAGGGAGGTTGTATCATGGAGACTGGGTGGAGATTGGCTCCTGGCAATTGGCGTGGTACACAGTGAGCTCTTCATGTGATCTGTGATGAGCTCAGAGTGTAGAGGCAGAGGGGTGCACAGTGCCTGCAATGTGTGGAGTCAGAAGAGGTTAGTGATGACCAGTGAACAGGACTGGCCAGATTCGGGTATTCGGCAGCCTCTGAGGTGAGTCTTCTCCTCGATGGTATGGAGGTGCAGCCAGCTGCATCCTCAAAAGACTTTCCCCCCGGCTCCCTCTAAGCAGATGCCCTGGAAGGGGGACTTGGATCCTAGGGGTAGACTTGAACCTACCTACAGAGGCAGCTGTCTGTGCCCCATATCAGGGCAAACCAAACTTGGAGTCTGGGACAGGTGTCATCTGCTCCCCCACATTCCTTCCCTTCCTACTCTCAGATTGAGGTCCTTGGCCTTTGTGCTGGAGGACAGTGAAAGAGAGGGATGTGTGGGAGCGGGGGAAGCTGAGCTCTAGGCAGACAGCACAGAGCCGCCTTGTCCACCCCAGCCAGATGCCATGGCAACCAACAAAGGCCTGATTGTCCATTATCCACTGGACATTCCTGGGGCTTTGGGGTCAGAGCTTTGGGGAACTGTGCGGGAAGGATTGGGATGGGGAGATGGGCTGCAGCTAGAGAACCTGCCCAGGCTTATTAGTTAGAGTGGGGAATCCCCTAAGAGACCCCCAGCCCAACTGTCCACTGTGTAGATGGGGAAACTGGAGCTTCTAAAGAGAAAAAGACTATAGACTAGAGTGAATTAGCCTAACCCAGGGTCCATCCATGTGACAGGGGCAGGGGAGCAGTTGCTTTTGTCTACCTGAGAGAGTTGGAAGGATCTTCCCCTTCACAAGAGAATGGGACTAAAGCCTGGTTTGGGGAGGAATATCTAGAATGTGAGAGCCACTTTCCCTTCCCCCAGATTCCCTCCTAATGGTCTGGTGGGGTTTGCTTTGCAGAGCATGGAAGACAGCGCTGCTGGAGGCAAATGCCACCCCGGTGAGCCCCCTTCCTCCCCTTCCTCCCAGCTCCCATGTGCCATAGAATCATGGATGAGTCAGACTCGGTCTCCACCTGCCAGGAGCTCTTGACCTAGTAGGCATTGGCTTATACAGACTCAGACACCTTGAGTCCCATGTGGGAAAGGGAGAGGACAGCCAGCTGGTACTCTAAGGAGGGATGGAGAGAAGCTCCCTGAAGACTTGAAGGAGGTGGCATGAGGGCTAGGGAAAAGGAAATTTTATCAAGCAAATGTTACGTGCCAGGCATGGTAAAGGTGTAATTCTAGAACCATCCCATGAGGTTGTTCCCTCTCTGCAGAGAATGAGGCTGAGGTTCATTCATCCATACAACAATATTTACCAAGTCCCTACTATGTGCCAGGCTCTCTGCCAAGGTCCAGGGATCAGAAGTAAACCAAGAGGATATGGGCTCTTGCACTCTGGACTCGACTCAGCCCAGTGAGGAGCTAGTGATTCCATTTCAACAGTGGTAACAGCTCTAACAGAGATGTGCAGTGTGCGACTCCATTGGTGGCCTGATCCAGGAGGAAGTTCAGATGAGGCTTAAGCTGAGACTTGAAGCACAAACAGAAATTGGGTAAAGGTGGTAGGGATGTGGTGAAAGGAACAGTTTTGCAGGCAAAGGGATCAGCATGTGCAAAGGCCCTGAGAGGGGTTAAGGTGTTGGCTGGTTGAGGAGCAGAAGAAATACAGGGTGGCTGGAGTGGCTGGAGCTCAGGGAGTGAGGGGCAATGAGGAAGAAATGTTGACAGGATCAGGCCTTGGGCTCATGTTAAAGATGTTGGTTTTTCCTAAGAGCACCAGGAAGGCTTTGAAAGTTTAAGCAAAGAGATGCCATGATCAGATTAGATCAGGTTTGTATTTTTAAAAAGACAGACTGATAGGTAGGAAATGGATTGTAAAGAGCAAGAGTGGACACCCTGGGACCAGTTAGGAGACTAGGACAGTGTCTTTGGAACAGGCTGCAGGTCTGGGCTGAGGCCTTGGTAGTAGAAATAGGTTGAGGGTTGATGGAGGTGTGGGTTTGAAGAGCTGCCAAGGAGGCCTAGCATGGCCTCAACCCTGCCTGCCACATTCCAGAACCTCTGGCTGCTCCTTCTATCTGTGGCACAGTGGAGCCTCCTCTCATCTGGAGGGAAAGTCCACTGTGAAACAGTGGAGGAGACTGGGATGCGTTTAGAAACCCCCTTGGGCCTCCACCTGCTGAGGGCCAGGCACTGTGTGAGCACCTAGTTACATCATTTCATCCTCCAGCAACCCTGGCAGGGGAAGGGCTGGGGATTGGTATTATTTTATGGATAAGGAAGCTGAGGCTCAGAGAACGGACTTGTCCAAAGGCTCATAGTGCTAAGCCAGGGGGAAAGCCTGAATTAGAGCCTAGGTCAGCGAGGTTTTGAGAGGAAGCCATCATCTGTAAAAGGACCTATGTGAGCAGAGGCAGGGAAGTGCGTGTGTGTGTGTGTGTGCGTGCGTGCGTGCATGCGTGGGTACGTGAGTGGTGGCATGCATGGGTCTAAGGGCCCCGTGCATAGCCTGGCTGGAGGGTTTAGCATGGAGGGAATAACACAGGAGAAATGACCACTGAAGTCACCGGGGCCAGGGCCTCAAAGTCCAGTTGGAGAAACTGGACTTCTGAAGGTTGTGAGAGCCAGCAGGAAGGCTGATTCAGGCTTCCAGGGGGAGTGTGGGTTGGAGGAATCTGGGAGTGAGGAGACTGGAACAGCGGTCATGGCGGGAAGAGACCCAAGTTGGGCTCACCGAGCTTTGAACTCCAAAGCACCCTAGAGTGGGGCTGATGGGTTCCGTGAAGAGAGGCAGAAGGAAGGAGGTGAGAGCTGACCGTTCTGTATCTGTGACTCTGTGAAGCTGTCTTGTCCCTTTTCTGCCTGTCCACCCTCCTGCTGCTCTGCTGACTGCTTCTCTATAGCCTGCCTTCCTCTGCTACACACACACACACACACACGCGCACACCCCTTTGGGGGAGCTGGGGCTTACTAGAACAGGTAGGGTTTTTTTTTGTTACTGGGGATCGAACTCCGGTCCTTGAGCTTTCGAGGGAGGCGGCGGAATCACTGAGCTAAATCCCTGGCCCTAGAACAGGTGTTTTTGTGCCTTTCTGTCTTTGTACCTGTGCCTGCCTGTGTCTCTGTGTTCACATCTGTATTTGTGAGCTTCTGTCCCTGTGCCCATGTGGGAGTGACCTGTGCTTTGTCCCTCCACAAGCTATAAGTTCATGTTCCTTTCTGGTAGAAGCTCCAGGAGGAGTCCCTGACCCTGGCTGTACCAGGGAACAGGGATCCCAGGCACACAGTCAGGGGCGAGCCTAGGGAATTGGTGATGGAAGGGGCCAGGAGGATGGGAGGACAGATCAGGCCTACCCTGTTCTCTCTCCTTGGAGACTGGGAGACCAACTGCATGAAACAGGCCAGAGTGGGTTGGAAACAGGCTGCTGGCCCTTCCTCACTGTATAGCTTCGGCAGTCACCACCCCTCTCTGAGCCTTCCCACCTTACCATGGGCTGAAGAAGAGGACCCCAGCTCGCCCCAGCCCAGCAAGCAGAAGACACTGGTAGGGCCTGGTAAGAGCTCTGAGTCTCACCAGGTGTAGAGGGCCTCTGACACCTCCCTCCCTCCCCCTTCTTGGGTTTCTGTGGCTTGAGCAGGCCCCAGCTGGAGCCACCATCCCACCCAGGAGCCGCCGGGTTTGCCCCAAGGTCAGGTGTGTGACCCGCTCATGGAGCCCCTGTAAAGTTGAGAGGCGGATCTGGGTAAGTGCTGGCTCATCCCTCCCTGCCTCCGTTCTGGCCACCAGGATGAGCATTGAAAACATCTCAGTCACATCCCTCCTCTGCTCACAAACTTTCCATGGCCCTCTGTCAATCACAGGACACCAAACACAGCCTGGCTTTCAAGTCCTGGGCAATCTGGCTAGGCTCACCTGCCACCTCCCCTCATCCCTGTGCTGAAGCCATTCTGCTGTACCCTCTGCCCAGCTGCTCCAGCTCTCCCTCTTCCAGCCACTGCACACGTTGTTCTCTTCTGCTTCCTTCACTGCCAAACTGATGCTCCTCCTTGAAGGCCCATCTCACAGGCTACCACCTCCAGAGGGAGGGCTTCCCAGACCTTCAGGCACTCCCTCCCACAGCAGATGTCGCTATTGCTTAGCATTGTCTCTATTTGACCTGGTTTATTCCTATCTGTCTAGCCTCCCCTGAGACCTGGAACTTCCTCCAAGGCAAAGATCAGGTCTAATTAGCTCAGCCACTATGGATCCTGGCATGGGGATGGATACACAGTAGGTGTAAAATCAATGCTCAGTGATGGGGACAGTCTATTCTGACCTCCTCATCCTAGCACACAGGAATCTGGCACAAACAGGTCTCAGAAAATGTTCACTGAATGGAGGGGCAGAGGGAAAGACTGAAGAAAGGAAGGGAAAACCTTTGTATGGAATTACCATCACTCATTGTAATTTAGTCTAGTTCTTTCTCTCCCCAACCTAAATTTTTCTCAAAAGCAGGACTTGGGCCTGAATCTTTTCTCTGTCCCCAGTGCTGAACACAACGCCTGGCATGGGGAGGCTGGCAGGAGGGCTTGTATAACTGTGATCTTAGAGTCACCTGTGAACTCTTTCTTGCTCAGTGGTTCTCTCTGTGTTAGAACTGCTTAGGTAATAAATCAGCAACTGTTCACATCCTACCTCTTGATACTCAGATTTCATAGGTCTGGGGCCTATTGTTCTTTTAAAAAATTGTTTAAAATTGTTTAAAAATTGTTCTTGGTGGGCCAGGGATTTAGCTCAGTGGTTCCTCCCGAGTTCAATCCCTGGTACAAAAAAAAAAAAATTGTTATTGGTGATTTTAACATGCAGAACCACTGAACCTAGAAGCACGTGGCCCACTAGTTAGAGATGTGGTTCTGCTGGATTCTCACATTACCTTGGGAGAGAGTAGTATGGGAAAAAAAAAAAAACCTTGTCAGCAAGGAAAATGAAACTTTAACTTGATAAGTGTCACTCAGTTCCTCAGAGACAGGCCTAGGAGTTCCAGCCATCATTCTGAGGTTTTCCCATCCCTCAACCTAGAATACAAAGTTCATTTAAAGTGTTAATGTCAAAGTATAGGACTTAAAAGACTGTAACTCTAAGCACCCAGTAGTTTATCTGAGGAGGTTATTTACTTATGAGCCCCTCATTGGCCAACACTGTCCCATCGCACAGAAAGGGCAAGGACTTTAAAGAGGGAGAGGATCAGAGATCAAATCCTCAGGTTCTGTCCATGAGGTCTCTGGGGTGACCCTGCTAGTTGCCAGGTGATCTACATGAGTTTACTTTTGGGCCTCCCAGACCTGGAGGGTGGAAACAGGTGTCGGGGGGGGGGGGGTAATGAGGTGGTGTTTTCCACCCTCTCCAGGGCCTCATAAGGCCATGGCTCACTGCAGCTGCAGGGCAGGGAGAGGCTTTGGACTTAAACTTGAAAACATCATTGGATCTGAGTACTTAAATTCTTTTTTGTTTTGTTTTGTTTTGGTTTTTTTGGTGCCGGGGATTGAACTTGGGTCCTTGTGCTTGTGAGGCTGGAACCACTGAGCTAAATCCCCAGACTCGAGTACTTAAATTCTTCCATCCCCTTCTGTGTTTGTGGGATCCCAGAATCTGATCATACCAGCCAGCCTTACTAGATCACCATTGGGGGAGGCAGCATGGCAAGTGGAGTTACTTGAGATTGAGGACCAACACCATTACTTGTCTTGGTTTTCTGTATTGCCCAGGGACTGTTTTTCTCCCTAACTGGGATTGCAATCAACTCAAAGTTGGGCAAGTTCCAGTTTATCCCTGTAGTTGAGTCACTGTAGCCAAATTCAGTAAACATTTATTAGGCATCTGCCATATTCCAGTCAGGTCGATTGGACTTGGACGGGTCTCCTCTGCTGGGAGAAACAAATGCACACTCAGGGGCAAACAACACATTATTGTTGATCAGTGTTGTGAGGGAGGGCAGTCCAAGTATTGTGGGAGTCCAGAAAGGATGCCCACAGTGCCTGAGGTTTAAGAAGAGCAATACCTGAATTGATTCTGAAAGACAAATTGATAACTGAATAAGGAAAGGTAAGAAGGAGTCTCTCAAAGGGAAATGGCTTGGAGATGTAGTCGTGAGGTATGCTTAGAGAGCTAAGATTTGGACCATTGGTAGAAATCTAGTTGGGGAGCAAGGAGAGCAGAGAGTAAATTCCAGAGAAAGCACCGACCAATTTCTGAGCCTCAGTCCCAGCTGTGTGGTACTGCGGAGAGAATAATGCCTGGAGGTAACACATATGAACACCTCCCTCCAGACCTGGTACACAGTAGATGCTTGATAATAGTTACTAGAGTTACTTCCTATTCCCCATCCTTTTTTTCCCTTTCTGTCCTCCTCACCAGTTTATTTCCTTCCTGGGGCTTGACCTTATTCCTCTCCCTTGGTCTAGGAGAGTAATCAATTGGTTTCTCCAAGTCAGACCATTACACAGTTGCTAACAAATATTTGACTACCTATGAAGGAAAAGTGGGAGCCATGGAAAAATTTTCGAGGAAGAGCAGGGCAGCAGAAAGGGCATGACTTGAGAGGTGGATGAAAGAAAAAAAATTTTAGAAGGCAAGGCCCTTGGACCTTGTAGCGAGGCAGAGCCTTTCTCTGGAGCTCACTGGTGTCTGGGGACCCATTTCTAAACTCCAAGAGGAGGCTCTGTGGGGCAGGGGGCAGGGCGGGGAAAGGGAGTAGGGGACCAAACCCAGACCAGGGAGTTCTTGGGCAGCTGACCTGGTTGGATTCCCCAGGTGCGAGTCTACAGCCCATACCAGGACTACTACGAGGTGGTGCCCCCCAATGCACATGAGGCTACATACGTCCGCAGCTACTACGGGCCGCCCTATGCAGGTAAGCCCCAGCCTGCTCAGTCCGAGGCCTGCCTAGATCCAGCACCAGGCTCTGCCTATGACCCATCAATCGGGATCTGGCCTTAACCTTTGGGTGTTCCAGGTTTTCTAGAGCAGGGACTTCCCCAAACCCTTCCCTGTCCTGTGATTTGAAATAGCCCTCCCTACTCCGGATCTGACCCACCTCTCCAGGCCGGCCTCAACTCGCCGACAGCCTCGTGATACTGTTCCTGGGATGATAGCGACCCCTGGTGGTTAATTCGGGGACGGCAGCCTCCTTCCCACTCCACAAAGTTGTTTGTGAAAGCCCATCCCTCAGGTGCAGCTTGGTGATGCTTAGAGATCCTGGAGTTGCCCGCCACTCCGCCCTAGCCCCACGGTCCCAGTACGTTTGTGGCAGATACAGGACCTGGAAGCAGTGGGAGTGGAGCCCTTACCACGTCAAGGGCTCAGTTACTCCGATTGGGAAGCAGGAGAATAGGCTCATAGCCTTAACATTGGGTTGGGCTGCAGTCGTGCTGAATGGGAACAAAGATGAATCCATTCCCTCGGCTAAAGTCCCTGACCCACCCGGGCTCTCTGGGCTCTCCCCGCAGGTCCCGGCGTGACTCACGTGATAGTGCGGGAGGACCCCTGCTACAGCTCGGGCGCCCCGCTGGCCATGGGCATGCTGGCCGGGGCTGCCACTGGCGCTGCGCTGGGTTCACTCATGTGGTCACCCTGCTGGTTCTGAACCTTGGGTCTCCGAGCTCCAGTCCCTGCGCGTAAACTACTAGCCCCCTTTTCCTCTTGGACCCCACCATCACTCCCTATATCGTTTGACCCTCTCCTCTCTATTAGCCCCTTCTGGGCCTGAACCATCTCTCCCTTTCTTTCCTACTCGCCTCTCCCAACTCCTGAAGAAGCTGACATCTCAGGCACGAACATGGCTAGAAATCCTCCTGTCTACTGCCAGACAACCCAGAAATCCCTTATAGACACGTATGACTATATTTCCTCCAAACACACCAAGAGATGGCAAACAACTCCATTTGGCTTCAAATTCCCCGGGCGCTGGTGTGACAACATGAATAGGGCTCCCTGTTCTCTCCTGGGGGAATGCCAGGCCTGATGGGGGAAACAGGAGTAAACAAACACTAGACAAAGCTGCAGAGTTATCTGTCCTTTGACAAGGACGCCTAGGGGAAGGGAGCAAGGGAGGTAAGCTGGGAGTGCTGTTGTTGGCATGTCCAAAGAATTAAGGGGGAGCCCATTTGGGCTCGGGTGGGGTCAAATCATGGTGAGCTGCAGGCTGAGGCACCTGCCCGGTAAAGGGGAGATGTGAGCTTTTCATAGAGGGAAGTTTCATGACTGCACCTATAATGAGGATTTTGTCCATTTTGTTAGTACTGATGCATACCCTGACCTAAAACACCCTGAGTTTAGTTCCTTCCTTCCCACTAGCAGTTTCCTAGGCCCCTGTTCCCCCTGACAACAATTGAATTTAACAAGGAGGCTTCTGGTTGGGGAACAGGTGAGCTCTGTTTGGAATCTCCAGCCTTAGGAAGTTGCCTCCATCAGGAAATGCCTTTCTGATCTGCTGTGATTTTCACCATCTAGGGCTTTGTCTCTTCCTTAATTCTGGGGGAGATGGCAGTGTTCCCTTCTGGGACCTGACCCAATTCTGTACCAGCCTGGGAAGCCCCCATGCCATGTGTCTGCCTGCAGGTGGCCCTTCCAATCTCTTCCCCAATCCTGTCCCAGTCACCAGTAGAAATGCTAACTTACTTGCCCAGTGCCTGGTGTAGTCCACTAAAATTCCCCTGTTGACAGGGACTCTATTGGCTCAGCTGCAGAGATTAATAAAGATGTGATTGAGTCTAGAACTGGCTCTGGCTTGTTTGTTCCCCCAGGACACCGTTTTCCTGGGACACCTCTGTGACTCAGCATCTACTAGTATCTTCTTTGATATGAGATATGGATTCTGAGGTCAGGTTGGACTGGAGACAGAATGTATTCTGAGCAATTTGAGGCAAGTTACTTAACTTTTCTGGACCTTGTTTTCCCTACCCATTAGGTGGCAGGTTGAAGTTGACCAACCCTGAGGGCTCATGAGGAGAGGCTGTGTCGGGGTCTCTGTTGTCTAAGCTCATAGATAATGCAGGGAAGATCCTGCCTGCTTTCTGAGAGGCCTGTGGAATTGGGATCTTTCCCAGTGGGTCTCTATCCCAGAGTTGAGTCAATGAATTGTACTTACAGAGAGACCAGGAGAAAGAAACAGCCTGCCTCGGGCCTTTTGAAGCTATAAGTGACAGAAATTTCCTGCTCAAACTGATTTAAGTCAAAGAAGAGAAAACACTGGGATGCACAACTGCATACAACTGAATTGGGGCAGCTTCAAGGTCAGGAGGTGGAAATTCAGTTTCAGCCTTGAAGGATAAGTAGGCCTTCGGCCATATGAGAACAGAGGGAGGGCTTTATATGTAGAAAGAACTGATGGAAGAATCAGCACAAGCAAAGGCCTCACAGGCTGCGAGTGCCATGGAGTTCCAGAATGAGTCTCACATCATGGCAGGTTGCATGGTGAGGAGGGGTGGTAGGTGGGACTAGGTTATAGGGAACCCCATAGGCCAGGCTTATGAGCAGATGGCAGCCTGGGAAGCAGCAATCACATAGGCAAAAGCATAGGCATGAGTCCCTTCAAAAGCTCAAAGCATCCTGCTGTCAAAGGTCACACACCATGTGAGTCCAAAGGTCTGAACTATGTTCGGAGGACCCAGCAGATCAGACACAGTCCATGCTTTGGAACCTCAGCATGCTCATGAGGGACATCTCTGAGATGGCTCTGGGAATGGGCCTACTCAGAGGCTCACTCTCTAGGGCACAGTCTTGGGGCTTTTTCGGGGTTTATTTAGTATGTAGGAAGAGCCCAAGCCATCCAGATTCCTTCCCATGAACGTGGACCAAACAAGTATCAGGGAGCTGCCAGGCAAGGTGTTTGAGTTTGCTGGGCAGAGCAGCAGCATTCACATGGACTGGTCAGAGCTTTCCCTGCTTTATCTCAGAAGTCTTCACAATAACTACATAGCTAGGTGTTACTGTCCCTACATTACCTACAAAGAAACAGATATAGAAGAAAGTAAATTCTCCAAAGGCATGCATTTAAAAACAGATGAAACAAATAAAACACTAAAATGTCATACTTAAATCCAGACATGTTAATAATTAAGTGTATACAGAATGAAAGCATGGATGAAGACTGATTTTCAGAATGAATAAACAAGACCCAGCACTATGCTATTTATAAAGGATATATTGTACTTTAAAATACAAAGACAATAATAAGTTGAAAGTAGAAGGTTGGGTGGCATAAGCCTGTGTTCCCAGCTACTCGGGAATCTGAGGCAGGGGGATTGCTTGAGTTTGCAGCCAGCATAAGCAACACAGGGAGACACATCTCTTAAAACTTAAAAAAGGAGGGGGGGAGGAGTGTGGTTATGAGGAGGGTCTTGGGTGGAGGAGATGGGTCATTCAGGGCCATGGCTTTGGGGGGTATCGCTTGCTCCAGCTCTTCCCTCACTTTCTGCTTCCTGCCTGCCATGAGCAGCTTTCCTTTGCCATGCTCTTCTGCCATGTCATTTCTATTATGGAGCAAGCTGACCTGGACTGAAACCTGTGAAACTGTGAGCCAAAATAAACCTCTCCAAATTGCGTCAGATATTTTGTCCCAGCAGTGAAAAGCTAATAGAGAAAATTGGTACTGAAAGTGAAGTTGTTGCTGTAACTATACCTGACCGTACAGTTTGGAACCCTTTGGAACTGGTTTGTGAGAGGAGTTTGGAAAGGTTTGGAGAAGTGGGATAGAGAAGTCTTAGAATGCTGGAGAAAGATTGATGAGTGATTCTGGTGGGAGCTAGTAAGACCAGAATGCTGATAGGAATTTGGATAGTAAAGGCCAGGCTCATGAGGTTTCAGATGGGAAAGACTCTATTGGGAATTGGACTAGAGGCCATAGTGTTATATTCAGGCAAATAACTTGTCTACATTTTGCATATGTCCTAAGACTTTCTATGAGGCTGAATTTAAAGGTGGCAGACTAATTATCTGGTAGAGAAAATTTCATTCAGGCAATGGCATGGGTACTCTTGGCTGCTTTTAGCCAGATCTACAGTGAGAATCAGTAACAATAAGCAGAGCTATAAGATTTGAAAAATTTGCAGTTTGAGCAGAAAGGAAGCACGGGTAAAGTTGCAGCCACAGAAGGTGTAGTTACTAAGCAGATTAGTGCCATTACAAAGAAGCCAAGTATTTTGCACCAGAACAGTAGGAAAGCTGGCACCTCAGGAATTGGCCAGACCCCACCCATCACAGGGTTAAGGGTGAAAAGGGGTAAACTCTTCTGAAAAATTGGCTTTGAGAGTCCCAGAGCACCCTCCTCATTGAAGGGAGCCTAGTGAAGTGTATCCCTGTTCAGTTGCTCAGGCACTCAAGAGGCTGCTGCAGTCATTGTCCAAGGCTGGCAGTAGACCTTGGCATCACGCACATGGTGCTGATTTTGCAGGCATGCAGAATGCAAGAGCCCAGGCAATGAGGTGTGACAGTGTCACTTTCCTTGTCAGGAGATCTTAAGAAGGCACTCTTACAGGAGAATCTGTCAGAGTGAAGCTGAGCTATTTAGAGACCCTAGGAAGTTGGAGATTCCAGGAACATAGAACATCTGGAGGGGAAAGCTGCAGGAAGTGAGCAGAACCAGTCTGAGAGAGGCCATGTAGGCTACAACTGGGAAGGCCATGGGGCAGGGCTGCCTAAGCCATGTGGAGCATATATCTCACCATCACATACCCTGGGTACTGAACCTGGAGCTACAGGATTTAATGTTTGCAATGCTGGGGTTTGGTCTTATTTTGATCCTATTTCTTTCAGTTCTCCTATTCCTTTTTTTTTTTTTTTTTTTTGGAATGGGAATGTTTGCCCTATGCTATTGTATGTTGCAAATATTTAACTATCTTTTTGATTTTTCTGGATAGGTTTTTTTTTTGGTATTGGGGATCAAACTCAGGACCTTGCGCTTGTGAGGCAGGCATGGTGCCACTGAGCTAAATCCCTGGCTGCTTTTTGATTTTTAAAAGGGTTGACAGTGAGTTTGCCTTGAGCCTCTCAGAGGAGACTTTGGACTTTTTTTTTTTGGTACCAGGGATCGAACTCAGGACCTTGAGCTTGCAAGACAGGCGGCAGCACAACTGAGCTAAATCCCCAGCCCTGGACTTGGGACTTTTGAGCAGTGCTAGAACTGTTAGGAAATTGGTGTCTCTTGCCAGGCATGGTAGCATATGCCTGAAATCCCAGTGCTCAAGAGGCTGAGGCAGAAGGATTGCCATGAGTTTGAGGCCAACCTGGGCTGCATAGTGAGCTCAAGCCCAGCTTGAATTACACAGCCAGACCCTGTCTCAAAAATGACAATGACAAAAAACAAATGAAATTGGTGACTCTTAGAGACAGACTAAATGAATTTTGCCTAATAATAAGATGGCCATGAGCCTTGAGAGACCAGAAGCAAAATGTTATGGTTTGATCTAAATGCCAGGTGTGGTGGTGCACACCTACAATTCCACCACTCAGGAAGCTGAGGGAGGAGGATTGCCTGGAGTTCAAGGACAGCCACAGCTACATAGTGAGCTTAAGGCCAGCCTAAACTACATAGCAAGGCCCTGTCTCAAAAAAAAAAAGTCTCTTTCAGATGTGGGGCTTTTGGAAGGTGACTGGATCATGGGAACACTACATCATTGGAGGATTGGTTCATTGATGACTTCATAGCTGAATGTGCTGTTAAGAAGAGAGGCCTGAGTGAAGGAGCTGGGTCATGACCTGGAAAGGTGTATTTTTGTCCCAGGCTCCTTCAGTTGTCTCTCTGGCTCTCTTCTCTCTTTTGCTTTCTGGCTACCTTGGGTTGTGCAGCTTTCCTCTGACTGGCCTTTCCACCATGCTGTGCCTGCTTTAGAGCCAGCCAACCATGGATCAAACTCCCTGAAAACATGCACCAAAATAAACCTTTTTTCCTTCAGTTGTGTATGTCCAGTACCTTGTCCCAGCAGTGACAGAGTGACTAATGCTTATATCTATAAATTAACAATAAAAAAAAAAATCTGAAAAGGAAATTACAAAAAATTCCATTTACAATACCATCAAAAAGCTTTGATGAACTACAACTATAAAACTCTTAAAACAAAAAATATGAGAAAATCTTCACGACAATGAATTTAGTAATGGTTTCTTGGTCATGACATCAAGAACTCAGGCAACAATGACAACTGAAAAGATGAAATGAACATGGTCAAAATTGTACCAAAGGACACGACTAAGAAAGTAAAAAGAACAACCCACAAAGCAGCAGAAAATATTTTAAAAATTCATTTATTTGTTAATGAATTAACATCTATACTACCTAAAGAAATCTAGCAACTCAAAAGCAAAACTAAAACCAAAACCAAAACCAAAACCAAATAATTCAGTTTATAAATTGGTAAAGGACTTGAATAGACATTTCACCAAAAAAGATATATAAATGGCCAATAAATACACGAAGAGATGTTTGACATCATTATTCATTAGGGGAATGCAAAGCAAAACCATAGTAAGATACAAAAATGAGATACCAATTTACACCTAGTAGGATGGCCACTGTAGAAAGAAAAGGGGGGGCGCTGGGGATGTAGCTGATTGGTAGTGTACTTGACTAGCTACTTAACAAGCAAACAATTAAATAAATAAATAAGGTTGCTGTAAATTAAACTGGAGCACCTATACAACACTGCTAGTGGAAATGTAAAGTGATGCAGCTACTGTGGAAAAGTTTTCAAAAAGTTAAACATAGGGCCAGGGATTT